TACGACCGGAATTGCATGAGATAATTCGATTTAACTAAAATTTTTTTTTTGTTGCACTACTTATGATTGCCAGTGTAATTATGCGATAAAGTTTGAACCAATTTGAATGTGTTATCAAAAAGTTAGATAAGGGCAAGATCCACGAGAGACTATAACAGGCCATAACAGGCTCTCGCAAATCTTGCCCTTATCTAACTTTTAATGACAAATTCAAATTGGTCAACGTTTTATCACATGATTACTACTAGTGCGTATTATGTTTTTACTTTGCTGATATTAAAACGACATAACAAAATTATAATTTATCTATACTAATTACTAATTTATAAATCTTGTTAATAGTTTATTAATAAAATGATCGACATATGTTCTACCCTTAAAGCTTGTATATGTTAGTTAGGGTTAAACTTTAAATTATAGTCAGGTATTAATTGCTCAAGAAAAGAACAATTTCTTAATATGAAATTTCGAGAATTGACATTATCGTGTTACGTTACCCCAAACCATTGTTGGCGATTCTAATAACGATAAACACATGGGAGTCAAGACTTTTAAAGCGATCTGTGTTACACAACATCATAACTAATTTTATGGAAGTTTCGCAAAGAATCTGCACCAGGTTTTGTAGATCATTAGATCTAGACTGATCGATATCAATCTGGTTTAAGCCGATTCTGAAGTGACGTTGGATGCTGATGAAAAAACTCAATTAGAAGAAAAAATTCAATTTCTACCATTTAAATTAATTTTTCCAAATGGTCAACGCCCTCTATTTGACTATACTACCTATACTACTGTTATCAAGATTAATTCGGAATCTTGGTTTATGGGTGATGGAGTTACTGATTGGTATATTTATGAAGGATGTGGATTTCGTAATGTACATGATATTATGCCATACGATAAAGATGCAGTTCAAGCAATTAAATCTTCTTTAGTCATGAAGTTTTTACGATCAAGTAAAAAAATTAGTAATTTATGCATTTTTGGTGATGCTACAAATTTATTAGTAAAGATTCTTGACAATTGTATAACTCTGTCCTCCTTGAGCATAATGAACAATTGGTTTAGTTCTAAAGCCGCTGAAGCACTATCAAGGGCTCTTCATAATAACACTGTTTTAACTTCCTTGGAACTTCATAGTAATCAGCTTGGTTTTGAAGGTGTAAAAGCATTAGCAGAAATTCTTTATAAAAGTACTATTACTCTAAATTCTTTAAAACTTTGTTTTACTCATCTTAGCAGTGAAGAAGCAAAGACATTAATAACTGCTCTTTCTAACAATACTACCCTAATTTATTTGGATCTTATTAATAATCATCTTAATTCTACCACTGGAAAAGTATTAGCAAAATCTCTTTATAAAAATACTACTTTAACACATTTGGATCTTTCTCATAATTTTTTACAATATGAAGGTAGTAAAGCTCTTGCTGAAGCTCTTTATGAGAATACTAAATTAACTCATCTTTACCTTCAAAACAATTATATCGGCCCGGAGGGCGGAAAAGCAATTGCATCAGCTCTTTATAAAAATAATTCTTTAACCCATTTAAATCTCAGTGAAAACAGACTTGGTCCCGATGGTGGCCAAGCATTAGCTTCGGCTCTTTATAAAAACAACACTTTAAAATACTTGTTTCTTTGGAATAATCAACTTAGTTTTATTGGTGGAAAAGCCTTTGCCGAAGCTCTTTATAGAAACAACACTCTTACCTGTTTAAATCTTAGTGATAATCAACTTGGTTCTGATGCTGGTCAAGCATTTGGAGAAGCTCTTTTTATGAATTCTACTTTAACTATTCTGTATTTATCTGGAAATAATTTGAACTCTGAGGTAGGAATAGCTTTAGCAAATGCTATTTACTCAAACAAGGTCCTTACACATTTATATCTTGAAAATAATTATCTTGGCCCTGCGGGTATAAAAGCAATTACTGATGCTCGTTCTAAGAATACTACTATAATTCATTTAGATATTTCTAATATTGAGACTAGTTACGTTGTCTTTTAAAAAAAAAATACGAATACTAATTTTTCTATTGATATTCACTTAACGCAGAGTGACTAAAAAAGCCTTTGTATCCAATTAACTTTTATGTTTGAATTATATCAATTAAAATCTAGCAAAATTACTTTATCGATATTAATAATCAAAATAATGCAGTGTAAATTTGTATTATTATCTAATAATCAATAAACTGCAGTATTATTATTGTCTAAAATTACAAAAACTCGAGTCTTTAATGTACCAAGTATTTTAAAATTTTAAAATTCAGATTAACTCACTTATCATAATTACGGTAATATAATTACAGTATTACTCAATATGATTAATTATAAATTACAATTTTATTCATAATTTAGCGGAAAATATTACAGATTATTTGCTATATAGTTTAAACAGTTATATCAAGTCTGGCAACCGACATTTCTAACAGTTTACTATTCATAAATTAGTAAATCAATTGTGACAAATTTTCATTGTTTCTACAAAATATATTATGATAAAAAATTTACATACCAAAATATGTACGAATAATAAGTAACTGTCGTTTTTATTCGAATTTAGTAAATCTTGCATGTTAACTATTACCCATGTGGCGTTATCATATATTCTACATACATTTTTTAGTTCCGCGTATTGGTTCATAATTCAGCACAAAAGTGCCAAACCGTTTTTAATAAATTTTTTAAAAAATAACTCTACAAAAATTTATACATAAATTTTATTAAATTTAATCAAGCCATTATTAGATTGTTTGTTCGCAATTTTAAAAAAAAATTAATATTTGATTCGTTTTTACTGACTAATCGCATATTTTATGTTTTCACGAAATTGTCGTCAACATAATTCAATCAAATGAATCAAATGAGCTAGATAGGGTTTTACAATGGCTAGAGTAGCGATCCGGATGACTATATCCGATCTGGTGCAGATATTCTTTAAACAGATAAATCCGAATCTGATATTAGATCGGATCGGATTATTCATTATTTTTTTTAGATATCCGATTAATACATTATTGTTATTTAATGTCGGGGATGATGCTGAAATCGGATGACGCTGAAATTTTGACTTATTTTATTATGAAAATTTATTATTCAGGATGAATATTTTGAATATGATTGATATTTCTTTTTAAAAATATCATTCTTTTAAAAAGCTCTGGAGAAATGCGGGTTCTCTTTGATGTCATTAAGTTACCGGCATCACTGAATAAACATTCACTTGGGTGGATGTTGCTGGAATAGCCAAATAAATTTTCACGAATTTAGATAGCATTGGAAATTTTTTTGAGTGTAAGCCCCACCATACCAGGGGTCTTTTTAAGACTTATTTCAGGTTGTCTCATATATTTATCAATTTCATTAGCTGAGAAATAATCTTTCTTTTCTAATGATTTCAACAAACTTTACTGAAACTTGCAAATTTGCAACTTAATTTTTTTTTTTTTTTTTTCTCTTTGGCAACCTTGCCGGTGATCCTTTATTAAGATTATTATATAAAACTAGTTACATAATGTTGAGCTTAATATTTAGGCCTGACATCTCTTGGCTGTCTCTATGGATGCTCAAAAGCGGTCTGCCGCACTAGGTAGAGTTTATAGTCTCTGCCTAGAAGGCTTTTACCAAGTTGCCTCGGAAGCTTATAGACCTCAAAGAGGTCTTGATTTAGTTTTGTTGAGTCAAGTTTACCTGAATACCCTTCTGCTATGCTATTATCTAATTCTAATCT